TGTGTATCCAAAAAGATACAACACCAAGTTAAGGGTTAAAACCGACAGCCGCCGCTGCGAAGGTACGCGATTGGAGGAATCGACGGGCGTGCTTCATTTTTTACGCTACGGTTTCACTCTATACTGTTCTATGGTTTCACTCTATAGCCTGCGTTTTCCATTCCACGGGTTGCTTGTAGACAAGACAGCTGATTTCCTTGTCATTTCTTTGTCATAGACCTTATACTAATATAGACGGTACGTGGTAGTAGTTCCGGTGTTCAAGCGTGATGGAGCTGATCAACCTAGTACACCGTACACCGCACATTCGCACAAGACCTATCGGATATATAAGTTCTATGCATTTTATAGTACAGGAAGGAAGGAAGGAAGGACTGAAACTGAAATTGACAAATTGTATTGTACCTATTCCACATTTATGGTGTGTAATGTGTATTTCTTATTTATATATTATTGACATTGTATTACAAATATTTTATACTTTATTACCAAATTATTATATTATTGAAACTGAAATTGACAAATAATTGTATGTATTCCCCGGTACGTGGTAGTAGTTCCGGTGTCCAAGCGTGATGGAGCTGATCAACCTAGTACACCGTACACCGCACATGCGCACAAGACCTATCGGATATATAAGTTCTATGCATTTTATAGTACAGGAAGGAAGGAAGGAAGGACTGAAACTGAAATTGACAAATTGTATTGTACCTATTCCACATTTATGGTGTGTAATGTGTATTTCTTATTTATATATTATTGACATTGTATTACAAATATTTTATACTTTATTACCAAATTATTATATTATTGAAACTGAAATTGACGAATAATTGTATTGTATTCCCCGTTTATGGTGAGTATTTACTATTTTTTATTGATGTATTATTGACATTTAATTACAAATTTATACTTTATTATATATTTTATACTTACAAATAATTTTTATTATAGGGTTATTTTTTCCGTGGTTCATTTTTTTAGTGTTATTTTTTCCGGGGTTATTTTGTAGGCAAATCATTACTCGGAGAGCAGATTAATTATTTCAAGATACATTTCAATTGGTTTTAGATTTAATAATTACTTAGATAAATATAGGTACATACATTTACAGAAAATAATTCAGAAGTCATGAAATATTTAGCTTTTGCTTTCTATTGAAACAATCAATGAAATGTAGTGGTTGGAGAAGTGAATCTACTAGGTACATTTGAGAGGCCAACAGTTAAAGTTTTCGGTAGTTTTCAAATGCGTAGGGGAAAAAATTGGGTCACCGTAATGGAAGGTGTTAAGTTTGAATTCAATCAGGCACGGATAGGCCGAACAACAAAACAACTAAGAACATTATCATAGCTTAAATATTTAGTTTCGACCAAATTTAAACATATAAAATAGCACTAAAAAAAATTGTGTTAATACAATTTCTTTGTGACAGTATATGAATTACTTCTAAGATATCTTGTTTTACATTTTCAACCATTAGCTATAATAACTGAACATTTTATAAATTTGTTACTACAAAATAATTTGACGAATTTGATCATATTTTAAACATTAAATGCTTATAAAAACAATCGTATCCATGTTCTAACTCGTAAGTAGGTATATTGTAAGTATATAGTTTGATGACCGAACGCGTCTTGCTGACAACGGTTGTGTACTTGTGTTTGTGTAACACATAATAATAAACTATGGAAAAAATCAAATATATTGAGTACCTATATACTTAATACAGGGGAGTGCTCAGCTTTTTCCAATGAGGGGGGGGGATGAACCGTATTTTGTTTTGTTGATTATCATAGACACAAAATGTTTTTATAGGTACCATATACCTACGTTGGTATTTTAGAAGTAGGTTGATATATATTATATTATATACATACCTACCTACTATTGTTATTCTAAAATTATCACTGAAAACTTTAAAACTATATTCTATATAGCTAAACATAAAATTCAAAATGTATTAATGTTTTATATATTATGCAGACATGTTAAAATTATGGGTCTAAAGACCTAAATTACAAATTCAAGTGTTCTTGGTTTCTTAGCCATTTCATCTAAGACTTCATCTGGAGTAACGCTTATATCTTTATGAACTGCCAATAGCGTTAATCCATTCAAACGGTCCTAAAATAAAATGTAAGTATATATTCAATTTCGGTTAAACTAATAAGTTGAAGAGTATTTTACTTCAAGCCAGGGCCGTATTTAGGGATTTTTCGCCCCCGGGCACAATATTTATGGCGCCCCTTTCCAACACATTTTTTTTAATACCATAGAAGTGGTGGCTAAATTTTATTTTTTTTGGGGGGGAGGGCATAACATTAATTCATTTTTTATGTTTCCCTTTCTCATTGAAATTTAATTTGCAGTTAATTTTTAGCAATATTAACTAGGTACCTATGCATTCCAATATTAGATTTTTAATAGTAGGTAAACTATACAAAAAAAACATAAGTAACTAGTTTATAACTTAGGTCTTAGGTACTATCTACCTAGAATCTTCCATGTTTCAAATAATAAAGAATGATATACAATTAATATTATGTACTATAATATAGTAATATAATAATATTTATTGTTTATTTTACAATTTTTTTCTTGATTGAATATCAGCAAAATGATCTATAATATCTTCATATTTAATTTGTTTTGTTATTTCTGATTCAATATTTAATATTGCATGTGAGTTTAATCTCTCTTTAGAAATTGTTGACCTTAGCCCTTAGGTATGTTTTTATTCAGCGTTGAAAATGACCGTTCAGCAATTAGCGGTAGGTACAGTTTGAACAGGGAGTACATAAAAACATGTTTAAAGCAAAGCAATACTAACACACGGGTAAATGTCTTCTGATCCTTCTATTTTTAACATAGAACTCATATCAATTATAGTTGATGGAGAATTTTTCATACTTTGAATATAACTTTGAAAATGAACACATTCGTTAATAAATGTTACATCCAAATCTTTTGTATACATTGAGTACAAATGTTCAGCTAAAACACGTACTTCTGATGGTTTTATCTTTGTGAGTCTTAAAAAAAAACTATACTTTGTTATGACATTATCGTAAGCTAACTTTCGACTTGTTAATTCTTCTATTATAGAATCACAAATCACTAAATATGTGTTTACTTTGAATTCCAAACTATGGTTTCTACTTTCTCACTATGATCTTCTCTTTTAAGTTTAAACATGGTATTTATTTCGTTTGTTTTTCTTATAACTTCATTAGGTTTTTCCTTCTTTTTTTTTGCCTCCTTACCATTGCATACACCACTAGCTTTGACTCTTTTTAGCTCCATTAAAGTATAATTTCAACTAAAAAATTGTTATGACACAATTAAACTTATCTAGTCTTACTTATTATTATTTACCTACTTGCCACTATGGCTAAATTACTGCATTCAATTCATAAGTATAATGTATAAATATATAAACATATAAATATATCCAATAATTGTATGCAGATTTGCAATGTAATTTAAGTGAACCTAAACTGTGTAATTGTAGTGTACCTACCTTAACTGGCACAACCTTACAATATCAATTATAAAGTTGAAAGTTTTAATATTATTATAAATAATATAATAATAATAATAATAATAATAATAATATTTTATTTAACATAACAATTCAAAAAAAAGTAAACTCTTATTTCTATTACATTAGTTCACTTATTGAGATTTAAATTATGTAGGTACGGAGTACGTAGTCACTGACATAATATAGAGTTTAGCAAGTTGTATAATATGAAATGACACAAATGTATTTTAGTAGCCAGTAAATAAGTACAATCGATAATTCTGATTTGCCAATACGGGCCAACGCAGTTATACTATACGTCTAGTTTTACAGTTTACTAGTAAAAATAAACCCACTAATATTTAATAATGTTAGTAACATTAAAATGTTAGGTACCTACCTACTTAGTTAATAACGTTTATTTCTCTTTATTTAAAATGATAAAATATAGGTAAAAAAAAATGTATGCATATGTGAATTTAAAAAATAAATAATAATAAAATATATCATTTTTTAGAAATCTTTCTCTTTACGAAAAAAATTAATTTTTTGTTTATTTTATCTGAGATAATTTTGCCTCCCCCGGGCAATTTCCCATCGGTGCCCCCCCTTAAAACCGGCCCTGCTTCAAGCATTGAGTTTCTTGTGTATGTCTTCACCCTCTTTAATGTTGAAAATGTTCTTTCTGGGGTGGATGTTGAAACGGGTAGGACACAAACAATTTTTAATAGCTTATTCAAATTTGTATAAATAGTGGAACTGCAAATTTGGAGAGCATCTAGGCCAGTTTTAATGACTTCAGAATTTTCCAATAATTTTGCTCGCCAGATTTTTAGTTCAGCTAAACTGTTGTCTTTATTTATGGGTGGTGAATAAAAATTTGCCAGATTTTTAAAAGATTCAATTTCACTTGTATTTAAAAACTGGTTTTTTGAAAAAATAGTCTCAAATCCTATACTATAGTACCAACCACGAACTAAGATATACTAGGTATAACTAGATAAGATAACTAAGTTCGTAGTACCAACTACATATATTTTATATCTTTGATAATTATTACATAACTAACAAATTAAAACCAATTATGCATTACCTTTTTTTTTTTCGAAAAAAGCGAATCAAGCAAGAAACTTAAGTAAATGCATAAAAAAAAGTTCATGGGGGGGATATGAAACCCTCATCCCCCCCATGAGCCCCTGACTTAATACCATATAATATATATTATAATATGTCAAAATATATATTTTTCGGTTAACGATTTTCGTAAAGGAATTATTAGTCAGCATTTACTATTATAGTCCGAAGATTATAATATAATATTTAATTAAAACAAATTTTTTTTATCAATGTATAGGTACTTTATTGAAAATAAATGTATTTAATTTAACAGTTTTTTTTATCAATGTATAGGCACTTTATTGAAAACAAATGTATTTAATTTAACAATTTTTTTTTTATCAATGTAAAAAAATTACGTTAGGCACGTGTGGTTAGTTCGATTTCGACATGTATTGCCAAAATCGGCGGAGGTTTGGTGCATGGAGGCAGCGTAGTCCGGCATGTAGCGCATGGAGGCAGCGTAGTCCGGCATGTTGTGCATGGAGGCCGTGTAGTCCAGCATGTTGTGCATGGAGGCCGTGTAGTCCAGCATGTTGTGCACGGAGGCAGCGTAGTCCGGCATGTAGTGCACGGAGGCAGTGTAGTCCGGCATGTAGTGCACGGAGGCCGTGTAGTCCGGCATGTAGTGCACGGAGGCAGTGTAGTCCGGCATGTAGTGCACGGAGGCAGTGTAGTCCGGCACGTAGTGCATGACGGTATGGTCCGGCAAGTCGTGCACGGAGGCAAAGTGCGTCGGGGCGGGCAATTCGTCGGACAGTTCGCCGACGCCGATGGACGGTATCCGGTTACCTTTGGACAGCCGACGTGGGGTGGCCGGTATCCGTTTACCTGTGGAACGTCGATGTACGGCGAACGGCGACGGCCGGTCACCTGCGAACCCACTACGTGCAGATGTCCGGACACTCCGTCATGTGTACAGTCGCAGATCGGCGGTGGCGGTGACGATCGGACTTCTGAACCGGCGGCCATATACTCAGTTTCTCTCGAAAGTCGAGACACGGCAGGGTCGAACTTCTTCCGCGGATCCGAGGGGACGTGACTCAAAACCACGAGCTCACCCAGCGACTCCGAAAAGATGCAAAAACATAGACATAATGTTGTTACCGAATACATCATAATGTTCACTCAAAAATAATACGACGAGTCGGAACGAGAACAGATATCGGATGGTCGGAAAATAATTATAACAATGTTTAATGTTAAACGTGTTTATAATATTTTGCTAAGTAATAAATACATTTAAAAGCACGTTGACAACCGTTGCCGGCTTAAATGTTTAGCCATATTTTTATTTTATATATATTACAGGTAGCCGTTTTTCGTGGCAAACGACCGTTTGTCGTTTCAAGTACGTACAACGAACATAATATTATTGTGCGAGCAGCACTATAAATACCTATTGGTTCTATTCCGAAATAAAAAAAAATAAAATTACACTTCACTCAGTGGCGCAGGGCCGTCGTTACGATTTGCGAGGCCTTAGGCAATATCTAAATTGTGAAATGCGAGGTCCCATAGATGCCCCTAGTAGTCAACCAATTAAAAATACCTAATTCATTTAAATATAGCAATAATATTAAAATAATTGTAATAAAAGAGCACACAACACATAAAATAAGTTTTTTTTATTTGAAAGAATGATTAATTCTAAGAATAATGTTATAGGTTTTAGATTTCTACTCGCATTATTCAATATGTTATGAGAAATTGAAAAAAGACGCGGGGCGTCATTGGGCCCAGTCTCCTCGTAATTACCTATTTTATACGTGTAAAAGTTTCTCGCTGCACACAACGATTTATCAACCTAAATATTTTATTTTTTAAATTTAATGTACGTATAAATGTGTGGTTTTATGTGTTTAAAACGATACAAGTATCAGAATTTCAATATAACGTTTAGTTTCTTAATAATAAAAATCTTGAAGAAGATATTTTTTATTTTTTATTTCATATTTAAATCAGCATGGCGCGCCGTTTAACAAAAATATTAATTTTAAGATTTTTAATATTCAAACAAATACATTTTATATTGAAATTCTGATATGTACCTAACTACCTACATTTGTAAAATACGCAGCCGGGCCTAATGACGTCACATGGCTAATCTACATTTCTTAATTTCTCATAAAGTAATAATTTTTTTTACATCGGATTTTCACCAAATCATTCCATACAGCGATAGCTACAATAATTTAACATTTAAAAAAATGTAACGAAATTTTTTTTTTGTGTTTTGTGCTTCCTTAAGAATAATCGTAGAACTGTAGAAGTGCATGTTACGGATTACACAGAAAAAGGAATAATCGGTACTATTATTATAGTAGTGAAAATGTTAAAACGCTAGCCACATGAATCAATGCGATCCGAGGTTTGGCCACCCTTGTAATATCTAAGATGACTGATTCTATAATAGTTGAGAAATTTAAATAGAATATTTAAAAAAAAACACGGGAGACGGGACAAAAGGTGATTCATTGAACGTTAATTAAACATTCCTATTTTTCATTTTTTCCTCAATACATAAGGTAGGTACCTTAGTACTTAGTAATTAATTTTTTTATTAACTAAACGTTGCTTAACTATCAGCAACAGCTTGCTCTTTTTTCAATAGCACCATCCAATCATTTTTTATAAGCAAATTAAAAAACCAAATGTTTAGAAGCAAATAACTTGTATTGTATATATGTTATTGAAAAAAAGAGCAAGTGAAAATTTGGTAGTTCTACAACAAATATGGTGCGAGAAAAGTTGTCCCTCGCAAAAGAGTTTTTGCTATGTTGTACATTTATAAGACGGAGACAACACATGCGGGTGTGGCGTCCTCTTAAAACTCAACAGCATAATATTTGTCACCATACACAATACAAATGTACATTGTATACCTTGTAATCAAATAATATCAATACAAAACTAAAAAATTTAATAATTTTGAACAATATTTTGGTATCAAATTTAAGTGCGAATTGTGAGGCCCCTACAAGCGCGAGGCCCTAGGCAAATGCCAGCACTGCCTACCCTTAACGACGGCCCTGCTGCAGTGGCGTATATAGAAATCATTTTTGGGATGGGCTATAGTAGATAGAAACTAGCAAGTGATCTATTACCTATACTTAGAGGCTACTGTCTACTATATATTTAATGGTTTCTATAAATATATACGTATTTGTTATTTTTCAACAAGCTATGAAATATTATAACTTATAATAGTACCTGGTAATTAAATATATTGTTGTTCTATTTAAAAATACTGTAATTTCGTGAGGGGGGGCTGCCGTTCACTATACCCACTCCCTACATACGTCACTGACTTCACTAGTCTCTTCAAATCTATTGAGGGTATCTTTGATTGAAATTTGAAAGCAGTCTAGTGGTTTCGATTATAAGCTCAATCAAATAAAGTTACATATATTTAGATTTTAACAAGACCTCGGAATTGAAAAAGATGTATTAAATAAGTATTTAGTTACCTACAGTAGCGTATCCAGAATTTTTTTTCGGGAGGGGTTATAATTTATTTTTGTGGAATTTTATCTTAAAATGATTTATTAATGATAACGTTGTTATAATTTAACAATTTTCGGGGGGGGGGTTACAACCCCCAAACCCCCCCCTGGATACGCCACTGGTTACCTATGCACTAAGACTAAGGAAAGCAAATAATATGCACAATGCACTTAATACTTAAATAACAAACAATATGGACTAGGTAATTATTATTTACTGTTAATAATATTACTTATTAGTTATTAGTAATGTTAATATTGTAAATTATGTTATTTTTTTGAACAAAATATTTTAATACGAATATTTAAAAGCCGCGCAGTAGGTAAACCCATAGGCGAAAATAGGGGAGGGGGGCTTTGGGGACTAAGCCCTCCAAAAATGTCCATAGCCCCCCCAAACATTTCTTACATTTTGCTTTAAGCTTATTCAATAATCACATACCATATAACCACATGTTTTTATGTACGCCCAATTTTTAAAAATTATTATTAAACCTTGAATTTTTTAGCCTTTGCAATCCTTACATTATACCACTCACGATCGTTGTTGTGCCTTTACAATAGGTTTTCAAGCGTTTACCTATTATTCAAATCTTGGTCCACCGCGGTCTGCGGGCTATTCAATTACTTCATAGTTCATAGTGTGATACACATTTTATTATTACAACTTGATACTCTATTTATAAATTTTTATCTGCTCATGTCAGGTGACCTACTTAGAATTTAAACATTTTAAACTACCAATCACTATAATAGGTATAATAGCGCATCTCAATAGCAGTTATAATTTATGAATAGTTATAGTAAATTACTGTAATCAGAAATGTGTAAAAAAATATGTCCACAAAATTGATCAATGCATTAAATAACTAAGGTGTGACAACCAATGACGTAGTTACGGTGGGAAGGGGGTGTAAGGGGTTCCCCCCCAGGTTAGGGTTATACATTTTTATATGGAAACTATCCGAGTATTTACACTTTTATTTTAAGAAAACCAATTATAAAATCGGTTTATCGACTTATCGGCTATCTATCGATAATACGTATCTGTCAAACGTTCAATTTGGTTGCTTGAGTTTGAAACCTAAGTATTGTTACACCACACGCACTATGGATAAATTTGTTATAAAGCTAAGAATACTGTTAATCAATAATATATAGCTACTGTGTATTTAAATAAAATAAAAATATTAATGTTTTACATTTTTAGAAAAGATTAAATGGATTGGCAATGCTGTCCATCCATGATTTAATATATTAAGTTTTGGACGAATTATCCACCAACAAACGTCGAGTGGATTTCATTTTATGAAATTTTATTATACACTAATTCACTAATTACTAATACTAATTCAAAATAAAAATGATGTTTAGTTTAACTCATAACTTGTATCATAAATATACTTTAATCCACCCCTCCGGAAAAAAAATTGTATCTACACCACTGGTGACAATAATATTTTATGATGTTGTATTAACTAATATGGCTCTAAACCTATAATAACCGTTATACCGTGATACCTACGACCTATCCATAGCTCACATTTTCTGGTATAATGTATCTGCAACAAGCTTAACATTTTGGCTTCTAACTTATAAATTACCCAAAAATCACCGATCTAAAATCTCGGGAATTCGGAATTGTACTAAATTTGAACTTTCATCTTTTTACCAAGATAATACGATCAATTCTTCATAATATAAATAATTAAGTTTATTTAAAATCAATGCCATTATAAGCCATCGATGGACAGAAATATGTGCACGTCACTTCATGTTGAAAAGGTGTACCAAAGTACCAAACTACCCCTAGTGAAATATGCTTAAGATAATAGGATTTGACTGGGCAACAAAATTAAACTATTGCACAGCCAAAGAAATTTCAAACTGTGCAAGTTCAAAATGACTATACCTATTTGATGGAGTAGATAGGATTTTTAATTGGGGGGGGGGGATATACATATCCTCATAATTTTTAAGTTAAATCACAAGGTAGTGCCCCCCGCACTAATAGTTTATACACAAAAGTGGGCAAGTGGATATTGATCTGCTGTACAGAAGGTAGGTGTAGATAAGTAAATTTAGAAATGTATTGACATTTGTAGATAAAAACTAAAAAATTTATAATTTCAATCACAGGTAATATATCAATAGATCAAAATGAGTCAAAATACTTTGAACATTTTGAATTTTTATGTATAGAAAGAAAATAATAAAATAAAAACATTTGGTGAAAATTTCAAGTGCCTAATTGAAACCTACTAAGTACCTTGTTAGTTTTTGAATTACAACAAAATAAGATAATTCCTATGCGTTTGTTAATTTACTGATGAATATCCAATGTCCAACTTCAGACGCTCATAAAAAAATATTGTGGATTTATGATTAACTTTCTTTTAATTTCTACTAACAACTTATGATTAACCTTGCATTAGATTTTTAAATTTTTTGACCCAGTGAACAATTTTTTAGGACAATAATTTTAAATAAAACTAGTAAAAATCTAAGTAAAAATTTGATTATCCATAAACTATCCATTATACCATATCCTCCCCTAACGTGTCTATGCTCATGACTTTAATATTTAATGTTAAAACAACTAAAATAAGTAAGTATTGAAACTATACCAATATCATATTCATTAAAAAAAAAACAATGCAATTTACCTAATAAAAGTATTTTATTACTCACTTATTAAATTAATCATAAAACATACATATTTTTATAAAAATACATAAGAAACATTTATTTTACAAACAATATAATTATATTATTACACTAAAAATGTTCATTGAACATTTAAACTCTTTCCTGCAAATTCTAAATTCTAAGGCTGACTTTTAAAAACCTAGCAATTATTTTTGTATGCTTAAATTTTTTATTAATCTTAAAATTGTAGTCCATCATAAAAACTTAATTAAAAATTAAATAAATAGTCTAACTTAACTAAAAATCCACATGCTCAATATTAGTATAATACGTATAAACATTTTACAATGCCATGTTGGCTAACATTTACCCTAAGGTGTTACAGTCATAATTAAAAACCAATTTGTGTACATTTGCCAATGTATAATGAACAAAAATAATACATTCATTTATTCACTAAATCTTTTTTATCTTAGGTTAATTGTTGGATAAACATAAATTACAGTAGTCTGTGCTTAAATGGCTAATAAGATGAAGCAATTATTACCCTAGAACATAATTTATTTATACATTTTAACTTTGTTGAGTTTTGGAGAAAAAAAATTATAAAATTTATATAATTTGAAAATAGACATTTGCATTTTTGTGAAATGTGAGTTACAAAAACCAAGTTATAAATTGTTGGCCAAAAAATGTGGTATATGAATCTAGTAAAATTTCATACACTAATGGGATAGACAAATATTTATTTATTATTAAATAATGCAGTATGTACTGCATCTAAATCATAACCAACATACGCTGATGGTTTATACAAATCGGCACCACGTGCAGGCATTCTACGACTTGTTCTAGAAAAAAATATAATTTAATGTCAATGTTCTCTTTTCCTTTTAAATAATGACCTATAGTGACATAAACCCCTTAATAAAACAATTAAATTAATTAATTTTTGAATATTGATTATTTACCCAGATACAGACATTGGCCCACTGTTAGAACCAGCATTCCTCACCATGTCACATTTCATAGGCCTGCCATCCAGCTGTCTGTTGTGATATACATCTACCGCTTGTATAGCATCAGCACGACGATTGTAAATCACTTCAGCAACACCAGGTCGAATCACTTTAGATTCTAATAAATCTCCTATGTCTGCAAATAGTTCCTGAATAAAAATATGAATAGTCAAATTAATAAAACAAACAGTGTTTGGGTTAATCACAGATTTTTATGCAAAAAAATAATTCTAAAAATTGTAATTATATATTTTGCTAATTACAATGACTACAATATGATATAATATTAGTACATACTCTTATATCTTCACACGTCACGGATGGTTCTAAGTTGGATATAATAATTTTATGGCCTATAGGTGGTCGTGCACGCTTAGCTAAGGCTGTTTGGTGAGAGTCCAATCTTGAACGTAATGTTTCACTCAACCCTCTATGATTCCTATAAAAAAAATCAATTATCAAGTGATAATGTTATCATTTAAAAATCAATATAGATGAAGATCAAACATTTTATATCAAATTAGTAAAAACTAATTGAGGCTTCTACACTTTAAAAATAATACTTAAATAAAATAATTTAAATGTATATAAAAAATATATGAACACATTTTTTTTAACTTGCTGATATTTTAATAAAAGACAATTCATTTTTTCAAAGAAAGAGTGATTTGATCAACTCATAATTTTCGTGTTTATGGGAGCAAATAGGATGGAAATACATTTTTTTATTTTCTTGTTTTTATTTAACACTCAAGGAAAAACTTCTAACAACCACTCCAATTTACAAGAAACTAGTTTCATAAAATCTATTTTGGTATTTTTGTTATAATTTAAAAATTATATAGTTACTTGATACTCTTCCAAATTATGAATAATAGCAATAAATAAGAATATAATTATATATTTGATTACAATTTGAGTATTTTTGAGATTTTAAGTAGTGCTGGAAACTATTGAAATATGATATTATACTGTTCAAAATCTATTCGATTGGTTTTACATAAACGTATAGTAGTTTTTCAAATAGAATAGTCGGATAAACTAGGTATACAATTGTTTGATAGTGCATATCACTAGTTCTAAGGTTATTTTTAATAATTCCAAAATGTTAAGTTAATACTCCCATAATTGTATTGAATTTTAACTGAGAATCATTTTATTTATTTTTAAATTAATAAATTACAGTTTAGTTGAATAATATAACAAAAATTTGTAAATAAATTTATTTTACCTTGAATTTCTATCTGATAAATCATCTTGATATCCATCATGATTGAACATTGCATTTCCAACATTCCGTCTCATTACCTACAATAAATTGAAAAATGCATTAAACTGCATTTTAATTTTTAATTTAACATAGGTATTTCTTATTCACCGGTGTTGGAGAGTATCTATTTGTATCTTCCCATTCCATTGAATCCTCATAATCCATTGCCATAGGTCTATTATATGGTTTATCATTAACTCTCATTGGTCTTGTTGGACGGTCTGGCAGTCGTCTCATAGACTGTGTGTTTTGTATTGGACGTCTTGGCATTCTCATATCCCGTCTCACTGGTCTAATTTCTTCAATAGGTCTGTCACCTTACCATAATTAAACACATACTCAGTAAAAAGGAAAGAAACAATATAAAACTATAAATATGTTACTTCTAAATGTATTTAGTTCTGAATTGAAAGTGTTACTACTGCGTCTTTTTTCTACACCATCAAAACGTCCTTGATTTACAGAAGACTGTCTGTCTGGTCTTCTATCTCTAAAGTCAGAATGATGCGATGGTGCTCTTTCATCCAAAATAGACTTGACAGTAAGAATACCACGGCGGTCAATTTTTACACGACCTAAGTTATTGGAATGGCCTCTTGACGTTTCCATATATTGCATTGTCTAAAACAAAAAAAAGCAATTTAAGTGTTAATCAAAGACTAAATGTTAAACTTAAGCCTCGGAGATAAAATATGAGCTCTATCCGTTATGCGCCAAACATCAGTTTTTTGGTAACATGTGGTTATTAAATCATAAAATAATACACATATATATGGGGGACGGAGTGTTCGTCGGTTGGGACGCAGCCGGCGCCAGTTTGATTCCTTGGTCACAGGCAGCATTTTTCTTCGGGCAAGTCACGGTGTCCGGAGAACAAGTGCCGCAATCCCCTACCCGGGCATGGCAGATACCTACGGGTGCCCAAACAAAAATTCTGCCAAACACAACACGTGTAAAAACCCACCACTTCAAAACCCTACTAACAGCTACTAATACCATACTTAAGGATAAAAAAAAAAAAATACATATAGGTATATAATATAATATTGTACCTAATATATTGAACAACTCGTGGCAAAGAAGCTCATATGTTGTACCTGTGAATACAAGGGCACTCATTAGGGGGTGGCAAGGAGGTGATCCCCCTAGACAATTGTGAAATTATTTTTTGTAATTTTAAATAATTAACTATTTTTACTGATATTATAATACATGACATATTACATAGGTACATTGTTTATCTATGTTGTGTATTGATTTTCTGTTATTTAATAAAATCAATTTTTTTGGTTCTTAGTTTTTTTTTATGATTTGTCACCCACCTAAGTCCTGATTGATGGGTGCCCTTGCGTGAATATGTCACCAACAGCAGCACAACAGTATATGTTGAGTACCAATGGTTACAACAGTGTATGAAAAATTGTCCGCTCATTTTTAGTATGCAACTATAGATAACTTATCTTAGGTACTTTAATAATACAAACAAAGTATTAATTAAACAGTGTCGCTCTATCAATCGTTTGTTCATTGTTGTTAGTAAAGAAAAAAATGATTTATAATTGAAGTTTTAATTTTAAAGTTTTTGATGAATAATACATTTTTACATTATGGTTCTTAATTTTTAAGTTTTTGATTTTGAACTTAAAAATTAAAAACCATAATGTAAAAATTATTCAAGCAATCGGATTATCACTAATAATAAGTTCACCAGTCAGTTTGAACATCACTAACATAGTGAACTATACTTTTACATAACTTAAAAATGTTATAGCATACTATATAATACTAATTTCTATAGCGTAAAAATAATGTTTGATCATATTTATTTATTTTGTTAGCTTATATTAACTCAGTCCCATACATGATCCATGGTGAAATCTTAAAACAGTTGTACATAAATCTAATCAGACTAAAAAAAGTTCAAGTTTGAAGTCCAACTAAAATGTCAGTCATATTGTTGTATGGGTAAATATTATATAATTATTAATTATTTTTATATTGTTCATTCAAATATACTAGATTTGGGATCTGTGGTGCATCATTAACCCGTCAGTGGCCGCGATGTGAGCGCGACGCTCACATAGTTAGTATTTTGAAAGCCACTTATTATATTATTACTTGATTCATCTGATGCTATTTATACCTTCAATCGACACATGCTTAAACATAATTTTGCAAATATAATAATATTATAAATAATTCTTGATTAGATATAGACATAAAATGTTGTTAATATCCATTAATTGAAAATTAAACTCAGTCAATAAATCAACCAAATACTTTTTCGTAAACTCAGACCTATTTTTAAATAACACACAACATTCATATGCTTGCTGTATGATAATAATCAGCAAAATACTCCAGACCACTAGGGCCCAGATGAATGATAATGTTCATATTATTATAAAATTATGTATAAAAAATTAATTTTTAGTGGTTAACAATTTATAATCAAGAAAACTTGTAAGATCATTTTTTGTAAAAGATTAAAATATTAATAATTTGTAGTAGGTTTCAATATTTTATGTTCATTATATAATGAATAATGAAGAAAAACAACAAGGCAGTGCTCACTCAATACCAATGGCGGGACTTCGCATAGCAATATCAACGACGGGTTGACATAAGTTTCATGAACAGACTTTCTAACTTTAAAAAAATAGCAGTTGATCAAGGAGTCTTAAATAATATATTACGAGGAATACACTATCCAAAAACACAATATGTAAATGTATTGTAAAACCGTAACGAGCTTAGCAATAACAAAAGTTAAAAAAATTACAAATTTTAACAATTCTAGTTTCTAGGTAGGAGTAAATGATTAGATGCTTTAAATGTATAAATAAATAACTATGGTTACCGATATTGATAGTTTTCAATACAAAACACCCCCAACTAATTATTGCAGTCTTAAACTCTTTAATAAGAGTGATTTTTCTATTTTACTACAACTCATTTTAATTAACGGTATTGAGAGTTATCAACAAACAGTTACTTACATCATATGGCGTTGAATGTAAACGACGTTCCTGAATTTTTTCGCGAGCATCCTTTTGTTTTGTTAACTTTTGTCTAGCATCTAGCATCACTGTCGGTTTTTCTAAAGCCTTTTGCAAAAGTTTAACACGAGCATCAACCACATTCACTGCTGCTCTAGCATTATTCTTTGACCTCATATTTTTATTGTTAAGTTTGCCATTGGCAGAGTGTTTTTGAATGGCTCTCAAACGTTTCACCTTGGACGCCTTGTTGGCCGCTGCTACGCGTAGACGATTACGAGTACCGCCCTGCCGAAGAGCTTGGAAAGCTCTAGTACGTCTGGAACATGCAATTTCGAAAATATATCACCAATTCGGGATTTCGGGCACTTTTGTTTTATACAATAATATACGTCATGTTTCTTTGGACCATTAAATATTAATCACCACAAAATAAAAGCCGATGAGTTTACTACGGCCCAAGAAACAGTAAACAGAAAAATAGGTGGTTTGAATTTACCCTGATTGGCCATTTTGGGGTCTCTTTCCTTTTATGAACTTCATATTATTATCTCCTCGTCGTTGAAACCGAATACCAACGTCCTGTCGTTTTCGAACACTGCACTAAGACTCCACAAAATACAAATCTACAACCATTAACCATGTGGGCAGAAACGGGAGACGACGATCAGCGTGACTGCGGGAGTCGCATTCGCGTGAATATTATAAAAAACTGAGAAATTCTATTTCTACAAATCGGCTCAGAAACAAAACTACTAATTTGGAAAAACGTAAATCTGCCAAAATGGTTCTCGGTTCTTATATTTTGATAGACCGAAATTTAATAAAATTACATAAACAAGACGAATGGTGACGAACAGTGTGGCCAACCGAACCGACAATGTGATTGATTTACTCGCAAACACCGGTGGTGTCCAGCAAAAGACAGGGATCCTCTTTAAAGGCTACTTCAAAGGTTACTCGATAAAACTGTTCTCTTAGCACGGCGTTGTGCCATCGGTTCCTAAGCTAATGTTGTTAGGTTTCAAAAATCCCTGTGAAATGTAATTAATTTTCTACGCTCTTAACGGCCAGCCTGGACGTTTCGAACAAAACAAAACAAAACAAAAAAGTATAAACCGTCAATGATAATTTAATGATAACGTTATGATACTGATTACTTCAGTAGTTCAGTCTTCAATATTTATATTTCAAAACAAATAAAAATTTGTAATTTATATTTTTTTACTTAGTCACATTATTTTGTATTGTTATTTATTATTTTTTTTTTTATAGTATCTTTTCGGTTTTGTTTGAATTTTTTTTTACATTTCGTTTTTAATCATTTATTTAACATTCACTGAAAAATGTAAACGATTATGATCAATAAAATGGACTGGGTCTCCGTTTCTTTTTACAGAGGTTTTTGTAAAGTAAAAACCTTGATGTTAAACTTTATAACTTATGATTGAATTAAACTCTTGATTAACAATGAATATGAACGGTAATTTTTGGCGACGGGAGCCTTCTATTTGTACGGCAGATGAAGTACAATATTCGAGGATGGATCCTGATGAGCGACTCGCTTGTTGGGCTCAAAGTCATAACTATAAATTAGGGGACAAGATAGGTGAAGGTTCATTTGGTAAAGTTTTCAAAGCCTTACACAAAGAAACCAACCAAATAGTTGCTTTCAAATTTATTTTCAAGGTATAGTTAGGTTTTACAGCTGAATTCTTTTTTGCTCAATTCTTTGTTTTTAATTTTAATTATAATATGTCCATTGATTTAGCTCGACAAATTGAAAACGTTACAACAGGAAGTTGACATTCAACAGAAATTACACCATCCAAACATTGTCAAAATGATTGAGTCGTTTGGAAATGAAAATGGGGTGGGATATTAATATTTAATTCTATTTGTTTATCTACTTTACTCTCTTATAACCAAAACAAACAAGTCATAAGGATAATTGATAACATAATTACATAAATAACTAACAATTTGTCTCGCTTCAGCTGACGCACTAGTGTTGGGATAAGACAGAGGAATATAAAATGTATAGTAAACATTTCCCCCTATTTTTTAAAAAAGTACTATTTATTTTTTAATATGAAATTATTATATTTTTGCCTATTGTCTAATTTTGACAGAAAAATGTCCAAATATTTTGATAAATATAATAAATTATGGATGTATATTTTTATCATTGTCTACTTGAGTAAATAAAAATTGCTATTAAAATAATAAAAAAAAAATAAGTTATGTTTAAATCAAGTAAATATTATAATACCATATAATATTTATTTTCCAAAATGAAAATTAATGTTTATAAATAATTAAGTAAATATATAATTTGAAATAAATATAATTATTGCTAAAAGATTGTCTAAATAAAATATAATTAATAATTGATAAAAATATTTGGATTTTGGCCTTTGACAAAATTTAGACATTAGACAAAAAAAAAATCATATTAAATAATACAATTTAAAAAATAGGTATAAGGGAAAATGTTGGCATCAAAAAGTGTTTCGGGGGAAGATTTCCTGTACTATACTGAAAACAGTCGAGGCTAGGAATGTCCATTTACTGTTTAAAATGTACACCAGCAAAATGTTGATAGCTGGAGTGAGCTCACTGTCACTAATCAAATATCTAACTGGTGTTAATATTTTTATATTTTTTTTGATAGATTGCCTTGGTCATGGAATTTGTGCCTCGATCACTTAAAGAAATCATCGAAACTGAAGGTATACTGAGTGAAGAAAGAACACAGGTGATTATATGTCACCTTGTATCAGCTTTACACTACTTACACCAGAAAAACATTTTACACAGGTAGGTACCTAAATTTATTAATTGTTTTTTTTTTAACACAATATTCTTCACTAAATAATTTTAATTTTTAGGGATTTAAAACCACCAAATATTTTATTGGACAACAATGATGTTGCAAAATTATGTGATTTTGGTTTAGCAAGGTTTATGTTAACTGGCACTCAAGTATTAACTCAAGCATCACTCAAAGGAACCCCTCTTTATATGGCTCCTGAAGTGATAAATTCTCCTGTTATACCTCCAATATACAATCATAATGCGGATTTGTGGTATAAATTGATGATTTATTATAAAGTAAATACTGTTTGTGCATTGATATAAATTATTAATTTAGGTCATTGGGATGTATAGCATATCATTTACTTTGTGGTAAACCTCCTTTTGATACAAAATGTTTGATGCATTTAGTTCAAATGATGAAAGATCAACCAATAATTTGGCCAGATACTGTGTCAGCTGTTTGTCGGAACTTTTTAGAACAACTATTGCAAAAAAATCCATTACAAAGGTTAACGTGGCCTGGCCTATTAGAACATGAATTTTTAAAAAACAAGGTATACATGATAGATATGGATCAAAATGAAGAAATAGATATCTCAACAGAATTTGATAATATTGTGTCACCCTTAAACTCAATGAGAATAAATGAAGAAGAGGAAGACGTAGAAGAAGAAGGAGACAAAGAACCTACAGATTCTTCTACTAGTCATGATTTTACATCTATAGAAGACACGTATTACTTTTTCATGATTTTATGTAGAAGAAAAATACTTTTTAACATTTTAGAATTAATTGTACTGATTTTTATATAGAACTGAAGAGGACTTGCGTTCAAGTCAATCAGGTTGGTGTTCTGAAACTTGTCAAGAGTTGGATGTGGGTTGCGATAAATCTAACTCCACGACCGATCTTGAAAAATCTAATGATTTTATGAGCGAAGAATGGATTGTATTTCTACGACAAAGTGCTTCTGAAGTAAAATTTTAATTATTATTTAAATCTATACTACTTATACTTGTACATGAGAAGTTGCTTTTTGTGTCGTTACTCTTCTCCTTCAAAACCAGGCAATGGATTTGAATGGGGTTTCCACAATTGGATTGTTTACACTGACAAGGTTTTAAAAAAAGTTTCATAGGCCCCGCAACTATTATCCCCGGAAATTTGAACAATGAAATAGGAATACGCTCATTGTGATTATAGTAGGGAATTTTTTTTTTATTGCAATTATTAATGGTAAACATTATAATAGATTTAAGTGTAAAAATTATAAAATGTACTTTGGACTGTCTCTAGCAATATAATGAAATTCATATATTTGTGCCATGATCCTATTATTCATCCCCCTCCACTTACAGATTTGTCAAAAAGACTACTACATCTCTCTGGTTTTTACGACAACTTTTTCAATTTGTTTTCTTCATAACCACTCACTGGACTATGTTTACACCTATTACTCAATTCTGGTTAAATTAAGTTTAGTTATATATTTTAGGTTAATACCATTAATGTTATCTAGTTTATGATGAGTAAACTTATTGATAATTTAATTCCGAGTAAAATAATTAATAAATTAAAATAATTTTTTAAAATGTACCTACTAAAATTTTCAAAAATATTATATTGTATACATTTAATTTTATCTGTACATAATATTATGGAGTTAATACAATGTAATTTTATTTTTTAGGTTGTTTCTGGGAATATAACATCTATGACTCAAAAAAGTTTTATTCTGGTAGTACTGTCTCCCTTAAAAAGTGGTACCATGTCTTCCAAATTATTACACTATATTGTTACTGTTCTAGCAATACCTTTTGTTACTCCAAATGTTCAACAAACTGAGAAAGATTTAATAACTCAAGTATTTATAATTTTTTTATTTTATTTATTTTTATATTATTAATATTTTGTGTTTTTTGTAGATTTATATTGAAACTAATGTCATTCCGTGTTTAATGCAAGCATTTTCTAATGCTATCAAATCTCCTACACGTAACTGTGTATCACCTCCACCACCTGACAGTATTGGCATTCAAGAATTAGGCAGTCTAGAATCAGTGCTTCTATTAGTAGAAGGATTATGCTTGGATAGACCTATGGAATGTCTTAAGCAATTTACTGAGAGTATCTATTTTTTTAAAATTCTACCACTATTACAAAAATGTTTATCCTTGAGCCATGATAATACTAATTTGGTTACTAATACACTTGCCGTATTAATATTAATTTTAATATATTTGCCATGCAACATTGATTTAGTGCAAGACATAGTTCTTGGGAAACATTTGGAAGGTACTGTAATTGTTTTTTTTTTATTTATCCAAAAGTATATTAATATCATTATATTTTCATATAATACCAAAATAATTACCTTTCAGGTAGAATTTCAAATGTCGAGCTACATAAATTGCTTAGAAACATTGAAGACCCGTCCATAAGAGAAAGAACATGTATCCTTTTATATCATATGACTAGAATAGATTCTATTTGTCTTCTAGAAATTTGGCATCAAACTCTTACCAATGATATTGAGTTTTTAAAAAGTGACCCATGCCCCAATGTTGTCCAGGTACATACAAATAAAGATTATTATTTATTTATATTTAAAATGTATTTTAATGTTTTCCTAAATTAAAATATAGACTTATATGTTAACTTATTTAAAATTATGAAAAGCTACGGTCTATATTACAATGTATTAAAGAAAATGTTACTAACTA